CAATTCAAAAGCAAATCATTTTTATTTATATATATTTGGCAGTGCTAGGGTTTGATCTCCGGGCTTCATGCTAGCTAGGCGTTCTACTATTTGAGCCACTGTGCCGGCTCCAAAAGTAAATCATACTAAAAACCATTACTAATGAATTGTGAATACTGACTAGATAATTGATGTTAAGAAATTATTATATCACAGTTAAGTTTAGAAATCGAAGTTCTTGTCCTGTAGAGGTACTTAAATATTTATATGTGTGATAATTTAGTACCTGGATTTTGCTTTCAAAATAATCTGTGAGGGAGTTGAGGGAAGAAATGGGTTAGTGTATATAGATGAATCGGTATTGATGCTGAGTGGATAACTAATGAAACTACATAACAGGTACATGGAGAATTTTACCCTCTTCTATGAAGGGTTTTGCAAAAGAATATTGATTTTAGAGTTAGACTGCTTGGGTTCAAAATCCAGATCTGCCATAGACTAAGCTGTGTGACCCTGTGAAGTTACTTAGCTTCATTGCATATTAGTGTCCTTGTCTATAATGTGAAAATAATACAGTAATTCCTACATAATAGGATTGCTATGGGAACAAGAGTACTCATAGATGTTTGCTGTTACCATACATCAAATACACAAACTAAAGTAAAGTCACAGTGCGTACAGATCTTAGGTGTACTCACCTAAGGTGAGTACTAAGATGTACTCACCCTAGTCAAGTTTCTCATTTAGTACAGGAGCAAACCAAAACCCATTATTTTGAAATCCATGTTTAGTAAAAGGTCCAGTGTTGGGCCAGCACTCAGCTCTGGGTCTCTACTATTAGTCATTAGCACTGTTTTTTAATAAATCATTACTGAAGAATATGTAAGAGTTCAAAAACAAACTTTTAACATCTGACCTGGGCCCATTCACTCCTCCTTAGCCTGCTCGTCCCCTGCGCCAGGAGGTCACCATATTGATGCTAAACTTCCTTAATGCAGACACCAACTCAAGTTGTCTTCCTGCCTCAGCCTTCCGAGTAGCTGGGACTATAGCTATGTACCACTGAGCCTGGCTAGTTAAGTGATTTAGTTGGCTTTTATTAGTGATTTATGAACCAGGCAGTATCTCATCTAAAGAATCTATAAGTGCTACAACTGGGAGTGGGTGGGACTTTGTTTTTTTTTTTTTTTGGTTTTTTTGGATAAGGTAACTTGAGTTGGAGCAAGGAAACAGCATAATACAAAAAGCAGATGGATTAGCATAAATTACTTCTTGTTACTTTTCTTGTAAGGGTTAAAACAAACTAGTTTCAGTTTGAAGATGTGAAACTTTAGTATGAGTGACCCGGTTTCTTAGATCCTAGTGTAGGAGCTCAGTCCAAACCAGTGACCCTCCTATAAATTTTAGCATAAGTAAACTTTATGAAGTAGGAAGGCTCAGTGTAGCAAATGTTTATTTTCCAATATTTGAAGTTTAGTCCATTAAAATAAAAAATCTTAAGTTCTTCTTAATTATCTGTTTGCTTTGAGAAGAGAGAATGAAACTTAACATAAGCCAAGTCTAAGTATATCTGGGGGTGGGGAATTAGCAGGAAATTTTTGAAGAAATAAAGGAATCAAAGAAGACTACTTGTTCTACCAAGTAATAAAATATTTATAATTCATGGTTCTGGTCTGAGAATAGACATATCAGTGAACCAACTAGTACTCAGAAATAAACTCCCCATGAGTTCCAAGGATTTCATTATTAAAACTTTCATGTCAGGTGCTCTCACTGGGTCTACTGAGCTTGCTGTTTCAACCAATCTAGATTGTCTCATAGAAATACTGGGAAGAAATATAAGTGAATATTAAAGTGTGGGCATGGGGAAAGCCTTTAGAGTATAGGAATAATGAAATAATGATGACAAAGGGAGAGGAGTTACACATTTTACCACATTTACATTTAAAAATGTAAGACTGCTACAATAGTGGTGCCATAGGCCTTCAAAGACAAAAGAGGACACTGAGAAGAAATATTGGTAGCATATAGACAAGGGATATTAGTAACTTACTCTATTAGGGTCCATTCAGGAGCCAGAACTCACACCATTTCACAGGGATAATTCAATGCAAGGAATTATTAACTAGTAAAATGTGTTTACTGAAATGGATAAAATCAGGACTGTAAAGAATATAGAAATAGTTATTAGCCACTATTATCTTTTGAACTGAGGTAGAAAATCCAAAAAGAAACAAACTTGGACAAAATCTCTTCTACCCACAACAGCTGTTCAGACCTTGTTGGAGAGAAAGTAGCTGCCACCCGAGGACAGAGCTGTGGATCAAAGCTGTCCACAGGAAATGTCTGCTAGGATGCCATGGGCCCCAACTGGTGAGCAGAAAGCCACTGGGGGTGCGATGGGCCTGACTGATTGATGAACCGAAAGAAGCCCACAAGGGAGTCGTGAGTCACAGCCGCTGTGCTAGACCCTGTCCAGTGGGATGCTATGAGTCAGTCCTATGTGCAGAAAGCCACCTGTTGGAGTAAGCTGAAAGAAGTTTTGGACAGCAATAATCATTGGGTCTCCTGCAGACCTCCTAGTAGCATTGCCATAGGTGGAAGAAAAGAACCTACCCCAACCTGAAAGTTAAGTCTCTTGCTCTGCAGTGCCTGGCAGTGCCTTCTAATGCCCTCTGTTAACAAAGCAGCAGCTGGCTAAGGCCCATATCTTTCATTAGAAGGGACAGTAGACTTGCAGCCAAGAGGCCTTTCACTGATAACTGGCATTTTGTGAAAAGTTCTTAAATAGAGATAAGAAAGTTTCCAACATAGTAAGTAAAAAATGGCAGAGTACTTATGTAGATAATTCACGAAAGAATAAGCACAAATGGCTAGTCAGTGTCTGGAATGATAGTCAAATTCACTATTATAGATTTTTCCTGATGTTATCTCGTTTTATAGACTTCCATTTTCTGGATCTTGCATCATCAAGTGTGTATATTGCTTCTTAAGATTGTAATTCTTAGCCTTGTGCAAGTGGCTCAGGCTTGAGTAATCCTAGCTACTCAGGAGGCAGAGTTCAGGAGGATTGAGGTTCGAAGCCAGCCCAGGCAAATAGTTTGTGAGATCCTATCTCCAAAAAAAAGGTACATCTTTTCCCCCCTTTTTGGGGGAGGTTTTGCTTGCTTGGGATTCTTCCTGCTTTCAGTACTTTTATCTTTCTTTACCTAAGTTACATAAGTAGTTTGGTCTTCTTTCTGGTATGCCCCTGTCTAGACAGTGAAATAGGCAAGAAGAATTTTTAAAAAGGGAAAAGCAGATTGGAAATGAAGAAATAACACTGTCAGTATTTACAGAAAAAATGATTATGTAGATAATCCCAAAATTGTACAAAACCTATAGCACTAACAAGTTAGCTTAACCTGGCCACAGGCTAAAAGGTCAGTTCAAATGAGTGAGTCACACCTCTGTCTACTGGTAGCAAACAAGTGTAAATTTTTAAAACATTAGAGCACTTACCTAACCTGTGCAAGGCCCTGCCTTCAATCTCCAACACTGCCCTCCTCGGCAAAAGTACCAATTACAACAACTCCAAGATTTTTTAAAATACTTAAATACCTAACAAAGTATGAACAAGGTTTGTTTGATGAAAGAAATGAAAGGTCTAAATAATTGGAGAGATAAGCCACGTTTGTGGAAAGGAGGGCTCAGATTCAACACTATCTCAAACTTGCGGCAGCCTGGGCACTGCTTACTGCAGCTGCTGTTATCACCAATGTTATTTCATAGTACTAGCCTAAGTCAAGCTTGCTGCTTTGTGATGTGGGAAGTTCCTTGTTACTTGATCCGATTTTTCAAATCGGATCAGTAAGACCTTTGTCAAGGCTGTTGTATAGGAAGTTACAGCATTAGATAGGAAATTGGGCTAAGATCTACTTTGATCATTATCTTTTTTTTTTCACCTTGTTTTCCTGCAGCACTAGGCTTTGAACTCAGGGTTTCACGCTTCCTAGGCAGGTACTCTACTGCTGGAGTCATACCTCCAACCCTTTTTGCTATGGTTATTTTTGAGACAGGATCTTGCTTTTTTGCCCAGGCCATAGTCTTCAATTTATGCTTCCTGTAATAGTTGGGATGACAGGTTGCATGCCACCATGCCCAGCTTTTTTCCATTGAGATGAGGTCTTACGAGCTTTTTCTCCGGGGTTGGCTTAGAACTTCGATCCTTCCAGTCTTAGCCTCCCACGTAGCTAGGATGACAGGCATGTACCACTGTGTCCAGCTATTGGTTGAGATGGGGGTCTCATGAACTTTTTGCCTGGGCTGGCCTCAAACTATGATCCTTCTGATCTCAACCTCCCAAGTAGCTAGGATTATAGGTATGAGCCACCAGCACCCAGCTGGTCATTTCATTTTCCTAATGAAAAAATCTTTTGAATCTACTATTTTTAAGTGATTTGTGTCTTTGGGGCAAGGGAAAAGGGAGATACTGAACTATTCAGTCTTTCAAATATACTTACTATTCTCCAGATTCTGTTGCTTTTCTTCCTACCTTTAAAACCATTTCATGTAATAAAGAATGTTGCTAATGGGAGTGTATTGCATGAGTGAGCCATTTGAAGCCTCTAATATGATGTTCATTTTACTTGTTTTGCTGTTCTTATTGACTGAAAAGGAAGATTTGTGACCAACTTTTTATCTCTGAATTTTTATGGCTTTCCAAAATGGCATAAACATTAGTCTTTAATACATTTTAAGATAGCCTGTACTATTCATATTTTCAGTTTTTTCAATATAATTAACCTACTAAATATTTCTCAACAAGTAACTAGGGAAACTTAGAAACTATCATTATAACAATTATACTAAAAATTAATTTTTAAAGATAATATGTTAGCATTTTTAAATATATGTAATTGTGAAAATATCTGACAGCTTCAAATAAATAAAAATCCTTCGAATTCTGTGATTTAAAAAATTGGTTGATACATGAATATTTTTACTTTTACTGATACCTTAATTTCCATTCTATTTTAAAGCCCAACCTGAATTCCTGAAACGACCTGCCAGTATATATGCTCACGAGTCCATGGACATCATATTTGAATGTGAGGTGACTGGGAAGCCGACCCCCACTGTGAAGTGGGTCAAGAATGGAGACATGGTTATCCCAAGTGACTACTTTAAGATTGTAGTAAGTATTTTTCAGAGAAGTACACTTAGATGTTTTAAATGTAACCACTAAAAAATCAGTTGTCATATATATACACCAATTTATGCACTGCAAATGAAGAAAAAATTCAAAAATCAAAGAAAGAAAACAATTTCATAGAACATAATTTCTTCATTGACTGAGGAGCCCAGAAGTATTTTGGTAGCTTATGTGAGATCACTTCTTGGGGAATTATCAGTGTATGGACACACGTATCTTCCCAGGGTCATACTCTCTGATTAAGGAGCAGAAACCTGTCCCTTGAGGTGTGGCAAGATGATCCTTTGGAAAATCATTATCAGTGAGCCCCATTTGGCCAATCATGTTTAATGCCAGCTATGCAGGAAGCAGAGATTGGGAGGATGAAGGTTTGAGGCCAGCCTAGGCAAAAAGTTAGCAAGACTCCACCTCAGTCAATAAGCTGGACTTGGTGGCATGCACCTATGATCCCAGCTACAAGGCTGAAGGATTGAGGCCCAAGCTGGGCTGGACAAAAATAATGTAAGACCCTATCTGAAAAAATACAAAGCAGAAGGACTGGGAACACAGCTCAAGAGGTGTAAAGCACCTACCTGTCAGATGTGAGGTCCTTAATTCAATCCCCAGTACCATAGAAAAAGAAGAAAGAGTTACCTGTTAATTATCCAATAGACAATACAGAACTTACCCAAAAATCGTACACTGATGCCCAGACCCTTTAAAATAAGGTTGACCCAGTATCAGGCATTGTTGTAACAATAGGTAAAGATTACTTTTGAAAGTAAATGCATCATATTGTGCCTCATGGATTTGTAAAATTTTTATATTTTTATGTATCAGTTAAATTTTTTTTTTTTTTAAAAAGTAAATGCTAACCAGGCCTGTAATTCCAGCATCCAGGAAGCCAAGGCAGCAAGTTCAAGGTCAGCCTGAGCTATGGAGTGAGACCCTGTCACACACACAAACACACACACAGAGAAGTAAATGTATTTAAGAACCATCAGCTATAATTGCTTTATATATTAAATGCATAATAGGTATGATTTACTAATGTTATTATCCTGATGTCTAGTAATGTAATTATTTAAGTTCTAATAATAACAGGTATAGTGACATACCTTAAGATCTCTGTATAGTAATCATAAAAGAAGATCAGCAGTAATTACGGTTGTTAACGACTTAATATTTCATTACACATTTGTTGAAGAAGTAATTCTTAGCGAAGATGTATTTTCTGTTTTTGAAATGGGTAATCTTATACTACAAAAAGTAACTCAGAATATTTAACATGAAAAAGCAACCTGTTGTGGTTAAATTAGCATTTACTTTTATCAATATTTGCACAGTATTTTGAAAACCATATTTTTTACACCAATAACAATAGTTGATGTTCATGTAAAACTTTGTAGTTTATGAAAAAATTGAGTATTATGGCTTCATTTGACTTATTGAAGTCTACTCTGTTATAACTATAGATATTGCAGATAATCTTAGGAAAATAATACTTTAAATTCACAAATTGTAGCTTAGCATGGTCACATTACTTTGCTTATCAGTTATTTTTCCAAGCAAAGGTGTAAGTTTACAAAGAGTGAGGGTGTGACTTTCCGTAAGTGTTAAGTTCTTCATTGTTAATGACAGTATGTGTTGTTCTAGTCAGTTAGTCATCACCTTGCCAATAATATAATATAAAGTTAAGTTAATAGGTATATAGGTAGATCGTATCCAGTAGTTAAATCATAAAATTTTACTTGTTTTTCCTCCCCCAAAAAGAGCCTATTCTTGAGATTTTGAACTCATGCTTATCAATTAAATCGTAAAATTTTATGTATGTTTTCTTCCTTAGAAGGAACATAACCTTCAAGTTTTGGGTCTGGTGAAATCAGATGAAGGGTTCTATCAGTGCATTGCCGAGAACGACGTTGGAAATGTGCAAGCGGGAGCCCAACTGATAATCCTTGAACATGGTAAGAGGCTGGAGCAACAAGAGGTGCAAGGAGCTGCCACTGCAGGGTGCCTATGGTTCTTAGCCTGTTTGGAGCCCAGAGAAAGAACAGCAGTCAGAACGTCTGCACTTAAGGTGACCCAGAAACACACCTGCAGATAACATGGAAAGATAACTGATATTAGGAAAAGAAAAAATGAACAGTTATAAGTCTTACATAAATGAAGTTTTTCAGAATTCAGTCATTTTAATCTCACCTATTTCTGTCCTACAAATAGAGAAGTCTTAAAGTCATGTTATTTTGCACTGAGTTTTTCTTTTTTTTCTAAAAGAAAACTAGCTTACCTTTTCTGATTATCACCAAAAAATACCCATGAATATTACAAAAAATTCAGTCAACATTGAAAAATATAAGGAAAAAAATCTGCCAGTATGTAAGTCAGAATTTCAGCAGAGAAACCTTATTGACTATAATAGGCTTGCGGTAGCAGTATTAGGTAGAAGAGAAGTCTAAAAAATATAAAATGGGCAGATAAAAGAGCTACCACCCCTAGGTCTAGATGGACTGTACAGGTTGGGATCTCCTCTAGGGCTGAGATGTAGATGTAGTGGAGAGGCTATTGCTGTGGCTTACTGGATGTCAGAGTTGTGGTGCTTTGATGTTGAAACTTGCTCACAATTTACTTTATTGGGTCTGAGGAAAGATAGGGAAGTATCTCACCTGAAGCTTCCTGCTGCAAAAACACCCCAGGGGTTGACTGTTGGGGAAAGCTGCTGGCTACAGAAGCCTGCCAAGACAGCACATTGGAACAGTATATCCCCAGTGCTTATGCTAGTAAAGCTTACGAACACACACACACACACACACACACACACACACACACACACACACTCCCCTCCCCCCCTCCATTTTTGCAGACATTGAAATCTGATTTGGAGCCGAGAGGCCATAAATTGATAACTGGCACATACTCCCAAACCTACCACCTAGGAGTATTGCATAGAAGCACGCACACAGATATATATGTGGTTTTATAGTCTTGTGTTTTCTTAGAGCAGCATGCTTTGGACATCTTTTCATGTAAACAAATATAGATTGGCATAAACTTTGTGTTAAATATTACATGTGTGCAGTGTTATATAACTTACTCCTTATTAGTTGACATTGTCTTCTTTTTTTTCTTACTACTATGAGCAATGCTGTGTTTTATATGACTATTTTTCATACAAAATTTACTAAAAGTTGAGTTGTTGGATAACAGTTCTGTGTTAAATTGATGAGGCATTCATTTTGAGTATTTCCGTTTATCAAATATGGTCAGATACCAGTGTGACTCAGGAAGAATTTCTCTGACAATCGTAGTTTGGCCAAGGGAGCTGACTGACAAAGATAACACCTACTCAGGCTTTTCATAAAATAGGAGATAGGATTTTTAATATGGTGCTTTAAAAAATACATACTTAAGAGCACTGTTATAAAGAGGCATAAAATATTAGAACTGCTTTTTCTCTGTGTCTGTGGTTATATCCTTCCCTTTTCACTGGAAATGATTTTAGTAGAAACATGCCACTTTTCCATTTTTGAAAAATGCCTGAGTATACCTACCAAATAAGGTATCAGCAGGATCTGTGAGGACTTTCTTATTACTAATGGCAGTGACTTTCTTAGGAAACTTCATAACTATCCTGGGGTATGTTCACACTCACCTAAGCAAAGGGACTTTGGTATATTTATGTTTGGGATTACCATTATAAGTCTAACTCTTAGTATAAATGGTTAGCTATCCTAAAAGGTCCCTAAATTCATCCTAATTGAACTTTTTTCTGAATGTACTTGGATAGTATAATAACTGCAATCATAGTGTATGGGCTTCTGTCTTTTTGAGAATGTTTTATGGGCTGGTGGAATTTTTTAGTGATCTTATCGGGGATATACTAATGATGTATAGATTATAAGAAGGAAAGTAAGTGTCATGTTATTAATTTTGTTTTCTATTTTGTTATTTTATATTTACTTATTTATTTATTATGTATAGTTGCCCAGACTGGTCTGAAATTCCTGGGCTCAAGCTATACTCCCACCTCAGTCTCCATAGTGCTGGAAATAGGCATGCAGCACCATGCCTGGCTTTTGCTGTTTTATTTTGATTTGCAAGATAAATATTTATATGAGAAAACTTAAAGAGGGACTATAACAATTTATAAGATCTGACTTCTGCCTTTCTGGAGTTTATAATAAAGGGTGTAAGGGATATATACAACTTCAGTAGGATTATTTTTATATTTTATGGTATAGATGAAGCAGCTTATAATTCAGAAGAGAGGAATTTTGTGTGATCAGGGGATTTTTATCATGTGAGATGTCCCCCTTGTGGTAGGCCTTGAGTGATTATTTCCAGATACTGATTAACAAGGGGACCTGAATCCATATGGAAGTAGAGTGCCTGTTCCTGGGAAGGTGGCCTGTAAAGGCAGACTAGGATCATGTTGCCAGTGGCATGACTGAAAGTCAAAGCGTTGCAGCAGTAAGACACCCTAACAGTAAAATGGTGCTTAATTATAGGAGGGAGGCGTGCAGGCTGCTTGAAAGAATGTGATTACGAGACCATTGTGAGATGACAAGTATATGTACTAGACAAATGGAAAAAGATGACCTGAGAAGGATATATTAGCATTTATCTGATGCAAATAATTGTCAGCTGACTGGATATTAGACATTGTTGTAGAAGTCAGAGGTACTTCCAAGGCTTTATCTGGGTGACTAGAATGATGAAACCTTAACAAAAATAAAAAGAGAGGTAAATCAAATTGGAAGAGATTTGTATTTCTACTCAACATGTAAAAAGTGTACAAGCAAAGTGTGCACACACCTATGATCCCAGGACTGAGGAGGCTGAGAGGACTGTGAGCTTGAGGCCAGTCTGGGCTACATAGCAAGACTATCTCTTTAAAAAAAAAAAGTGTGCAAAGAACCTCCCTCTGTCACCACAAGAACAAGCTTAATAAGCTACAGAATCATAATTTCTCTCAAGTCCGTTGCTACACTTAGAAAAGCACTGACATAAATTCTAAAAAGGCAGCACAGTTCCCCTACACCATTCCCTGAGAAATGGGTCATATGAATGGTTTCACCTTTGGCACAGCACAGGTGGGAGAGATGGTTGCCAGAAAAGTGAACAAGAAGAAAGTTCTTAAAATTTTAACTGATCGTTAAAGACCAAATGTGGACTAGTTTGGAATATCTGGGGATCCCACATACAAAAGGAGTTCACATTTGCTTGCAAATACATTCTTCCTTGTGCTCCAGAGGGTACGCCCAGCTAAGAGGCAAAGCAGGAGACTTAAGAAAGCTTTCTCTGTGGCCTAGAGATGAGATATTCTGTCCTGCTGAGAGACAGACACAACACTCCCACCACAACCACCACCATCATTTACTCAGATCCTCATTTAACCTCAAACCAGTAGAAGAGAGGCAGAGGCCTTTTTATTTCATGTTTCTGGAGTAAATTTAGAAGCCAAACTCCTCTACATTTGTGGGGAAAGACCCTCTCCATATGTGTATTATATGTGCTATTTATGTATTTATTACTTAGTTTTTGGTAGTACTAAGGATAAAACCCAGGACCTCACATATGCTAGGAAAGCACTCTACCCCTAAACAACATTTCCTTTGAGAAAAACCCTTTGGATAAAGAATACAAACAAAAACTCATTATTGCAGAGGGGAAGGGTAGAAGAAAAACACTTTATCTTTGAATGAGGGACAGAAAACCATTTTAGGTTCCAGAATCCTACACTGATAGCAAGAAGAGGTCTTTTACTACTGAGGAGAAGTCAAACTCCCACCTAAGGTCAACATAAATACAAAGCACATTTGGGCTGCCATAGGAGGAACCATAAGGTCTACCTATGATCAAGACTGGACCAGGGCACCAGAGAATTTCATCTGGTCCAACAACAAGCCTAGAACCAAGGCACAGAGACTTGGGAAAGGTAAAGAACATGAATCCTTGAGGCACTGGAATGTAGGAACAGCTGAAAACAGAGAAGAAAGCAGAAAACTGAGGAAAAACCTCTGCCTCCAGACCCAGCACAGTAGTCTCTGCCATGAGACACTGAAGGTAGCCATAAGAGCGATAGCATCCACAACAAACTCAGTTTCTGACTAAATGGCTGAACTCTACACTAGTAGTTTGAAAAACAACAAGCCTAACTGTGTTGGGTGTAAATAATCCTTGCTGCTATTCTGCACATCATGTCCATCACTCAGTCAAAAAAGCAAAAGGTGAAAAATGAAGCAGTCAACAGACTCAAACTCAGGCTTACATAGATTTCTCTGTAGAAAGGCTATAGAAAGGTATTCGTAGACTATCTACCATCCACATACCATATATCACATACCACTACTTATGTATCTTTCTCTTAAAAATTGCTCAGCGCCAAACGCTGGTGGCTCATACCTATAATTCTAACTACTCAGGAGGCAGCGATCAAGAGGACCACAGTTAGAAGCCAGCCAGAGCAAACAGTTCATGAGACCCTACCTCGAAAATACCGAACACAAAAAAGGGCTGGCAGAATGGCTCAAGTGGTAGAATGCCTGACCAGCAAGCATGAAGCCCTCAGTTCCCACAGAGGAACAAATATACAAATTACAGCCAGAAATAAAGTACTTAAGAAAAAAAAATAACCCAAATTCTATGCCCAGCAAAAATATCTTTCAAAAATTAAAGTGAAATAAAGACCTTTTCAGAAACAGAAGCTTAGAGAAGACATTGTTGACACGCTTGTGCTACAAGGAAATCTTTCAGGCTGGGGTAGGATGGTACCTGACTGAAACTTGGAGAATCTTCACAAAAATTAAAAGCAGGTGTAGGTTTTGTCTTTTGATGTTTTCTAAAGTACATGAACAGTATAAGTTGGTGATCTGGAAAGAATCCAATTACATATTTACCTTATGATATAAAAGTAAAATACAGGAGAGAGCTAAAATTTAAATTGAATCCATAAAACACTGGAAGA